ATTTATTATTTGATATTTAGAGGCACTTCATTGATATTCTTTTTTTTTTTTAATATGAAATCATTCAAATGAAAATAAATATATAATAGGAAACGATTTTCTAAGTTATTGAAAGTCTTAATAAACATCGTATTATATGTCTTATATATTATCATGTTATAAGTGATTTATAAAATTCATCATCAGATGATTTTAATCGATATGTTTATTTGACTCTATAGACAGTTTTTGAAATGATAATTTGATAAAACTAATTCTATATAAGAAATATATCAAATATTTTACATAGGACATATATGTAACGACGCTCATTATTATTCGTACAGCTGACAAATAACCTTGTTATTCTAATATCTCCTCAATATTTCGATCTTACGTGTTCCCGCTTTCACAAAAATATAGGTAAGGATTTCTATTATACTTTTGAAAAAAAATTTCATCTTTCATCAACTCAATGTTGGATATTCTTAAGATAAAATATTCTCCGCTCCGGTTATAACTATTCGTAGATGTTACTTCTTATTCTATTTGTGTACCTTTGTACATTCTATACCTTCTGCATTTTATTCATTTGCTCTACGAGACCGACTATAAACGTTGACGATTCCTTCCTCTCTCTGGATCTTTTACAAACCTCATCCGTTGTTTTAGAGTCAAAATATGTAGTTGCTCTTTTTTGAAGAGCTGGATAGAAAGATTGATCGAATAAAAAAATTCTACTATGTTTTGTTGTTGCGTGTCCATTGTTGGAAAATTATCTAAAAAATAGATCAGCATTTAATTGTCTTTTAGTTCACTCGAAAACATTCATGATATGATCAGATAAAATTTGTGAACATTTTGGTGAATTAGCTAAACTGAAAATGATGGATTGTTTGACCTTTCTCTTTTCCTCTTCAATATAATTATTTGATTTTAGACAAAGTGAACTATGACACCTAAAAAAACATTATATTCAAAAGACTTTTGCGAAGTACATGAATATCTACGAACAATGATTGAGTATATTGTGAAAAAATACAAAATGTACAAATGCATGAAAAATTTTCTTGATCCTCATGAAACCCAATTTAATTTTTTTTTTTAATTTCAGTTTCAACGTAATAGTTTGGAGAAAAGTTGACAAAGAATACAGTCCAGATTGTATAATAGTAATAGTTAAATATCATGGGAGTTAACTGTTTCAGTTAATAGGAATAGACAATCTGATGATTTTGATCGATGAGATTTTAACAGAGAAAAAAGAGAAAAAATATTTCGATGGAAAATCTGTTTCAATCAGCTTGAAAAAATGCGATTAGGATCAAGTTTCATATTTCAACATGAAAATGATCCGAAGCATTAAGTACCAATTATATCAGATTGGTTAGATAATAAATGTGTAAGATGCCTCACTAAGTTCTGTTTTCAAACTTATTGAACGTTTACGGCTCGAACTTGATCGAGGAATACAAATCAAACTAAGGACGATTTAACTAAAGCATCAGTTGATTTAGCTGAGAATCGTTGACAAGTATGCATAAACCAACTGAAATTTTCAACATGATATGAATAGAATTATAGAAGAAGAAAAAAAAAACCAAGATAAATGAATAAAAATTCATCATGCATCTTTCCGTTTTTGATATTAGAAAAACACACCATAATACTATTATTGGTTATATTTAACTATATTCAATAGAGAGAATCAAATGTAATTGAGAGAGTTCAGCGTGAAACAAAAAATTAATTTCGTTTTTTTTTTTGATGAAGTTGAGGCCATTTTCTTGTATGAAAGTTAAGATTTACGAATAATTTTGAAAGAAGTGAAAACTTTTAGAATTTTAAGATTTTAGCTTAAGAAAAATCAAATATTTGGTGGTTAATCAAGGACGAAACTTGTTGTAAGTATACCAAATAAACTATAGCTACATTTTTGTGAAAGTCAGAATTAACTGGAAAGGTCGAATTATTACAGAGATATTAGGATAGCAAGGTTATTGATCAGCTGCAAGAATAATCATGGCTCTCGATTGTTTTGAAGAGTGCCGGGGGCTAATAATTTTTTTCGCAGACAGTACTCATAAATACCCCCAATTTTTCCAAAAGTCAGAAGTGAAGAGCAAAAAAAAACATCTTCACCTGAGTTTTGGAGGCGCACGGGAGTACCTCTACCATAGCCGGCCCCTTCGAATTCCGAGAACCTAATCACCTGATCAGTCGATTTGACCTCCTCTTTTACCAGAACTCTGAGCGCTACTAAAAATTCCGCAGACAGATAGCAAAATAATCTTCGCAGACAACAAGAAAATTTTCTCAGACACGCTAAAAAAGTGCCGGGAGCTAGCCCCCGGCACATCGGGGGCCTTACAATAATTTTGAGCGTTTATATATATATATATTTGATGATATGCAAACGAAATTTTCATTGCAACATATGTGTAGGACGCAGAATACAAAGTCTGTGCACTTCGATAAGCAACCATGTTTCGTCGTGTACGATCATATTTTGACAACTTTGATAGTTCAGTACTAGAATTGATATATATTCGTGACCATATATGAAGCAGCAAAGTCACTATATACAGCGAAATATGACGCAACACTGAGATCATATATGATATGTATCTACGACAATGTTAAGCAAGCGTTTTTATCTCTGTAGATCACCGTATCTTTTCGTATTTAGTACGAAGATATACAATTGTCATGCTCGATTATGTAAACAGCCGCATTTCTAAGAGTATGTTCGTACTTGATTTATCTGTTTAATCGGAAAGTTCATGTCAAAGTCTCTTTCCAAAACATTTTTTTTGATGAGGAGATTTAAACAATTAGGTCCCGTTTCGTCGAAAAAAAAATTCTAATTAATCAATGAAGAACAGATTATATCATTTGATGAGATTTTTTCGTCATACTAATTACGAATAGTGCCTAATTACTCGTAGATAAGTTTGTCAAAAAAAAAATAAAAATAGTTGTGTTAAAAATTTTATCTTGTGTGTAGCGAAAAGTATCAAGTAATAAAGTTGGTTGATTACGTTTACTTTCAACAATAGATAGCATCATTTTATGTAATAATGAATGAATATAACAAAAAAAAAATGAATTTTCCCTTTTTACTCCACATATATATACTTTTGCAAAATTACTGATTACTAGTATAGCGATATCAATTAGTTTTTTTTTTTAAGGAAATAGTTTAAGTCAATCAAAGAAATTGAGCTTATCTCTTTGATTATACTTTTTTTCATTACAATTTAATTTTTCGACGAAACGGGAATGACGAAAAAAAACATATCAAATTTTTGGACGAAATGAGAATCTACCATTTAAATAGAGCGATGATAGAATGACCTTTATATTAATCTAGGGGTCTCTGAAGGTAATTATCACGTTATCAATAGCTATCAGTCACAGTGACCAGAAAAAGGTTATAAAGTGTTACTCATTTTTACTACAAGTCTCAGGACAAAATCAATTATTTATCGATAGAGACATAAAATAAATAAAAAGACGTATGTTTAAAAAGACAAATGAACTTTAAGAATATTTTATTTTCAGGAAATAAAAAGTAATGAGAATTTGTGAAAAAAGAAACGTTTTTATCAGAATATCAAGGTTCTTCTACGAAGCTCGTGTTATGTTTCAATAAAAAAACTTCTTATGAATATTTTTCTTTTGTCATCTCATTAGTCTTATTACAAAATAATACTTTAGATGATGAAATTAGTTTAAAACGTACTTATGAGTTTAGAAAAAAAATTGATATGTCATGAAAAGTAACTCATGTGTTTGAAAGAAAACATCAGACATCAGTTCACATAGTACTCAAATCAGTCAAAAGATCAATGCAATTTGTTATAAATTATGAAATGATTAGAATTGTTTCTTTAATATTCTGTCAGAATAAAAACAAAGCATAGGTTTATGCATTTTTATTTTTTATGATAGCAATAAAATGTCAATTAAATCATAACAGTTCTAGATATACAATTGTATTGAGAATGTCGTCTACTTTTTGACATGAACACCCTAGAATCTTGTAAACAGGAAATTCGAAAACATTCTCACATATATCGATGTTTTTTTTTCTCTATCTTCTAACATATTTCGAACATTCTTTCATCAAATGTTCTAATTTTATTAGTCATTTTTAACTTCAATAAAAAGATAAATTTTCTTCAACTAATTAAAAAAAAAATAATACTACTTGTTTTGTCTAATCAAAATTCTTTCAAATACTATTCAATATTTTGTCTAAATCTTTATTATTAGTCTTTTTTTTTTATTACCATAATAATTAAAATCTTTTTTTTTTCTTCACCAATAAAATTCTTCTTTCCATCAAATAATAGAACGTCTGATAAACACACACAAATGTACACATTTATACTATGTACACATATACTATGAAGAAACAAAAAAGGAATATTCACCGTATGCTTTCATTACGCGCATAGATAACTTTCATTATATTCCGTTTGTTTTTTTTTTAGTGTTATTTCTCAAAAAATGAACATAAACTTTTTTTTTTTGGTTTTCATTTGGCGCATTATAAAAAAAAAAAAAAAAAACTTGCGACAAACATAGGGATATCATGTCCCAAACGGAATACAAAGACACACAGTGAAATGAATAGTACAAGCGTGCTATACAATGTTGAAAGACAATTAACAAAGAAATAACTTTTTTTCTCAAATTTTCTTGCACATATACAAAAAAACTCAGATAATATAAAAAAAAAGAAAACTCTTTCATGTGTATATATAAATATGCACCAATAAGTATATATTTCATGCACATATATTAACACACACACATGTTCTACAACTAAATACATTATTCATAGGTGTAGAGGAGAGAGAAAAAAAAAAGAGAGAAGCAGAAATTTTCAAACTAGGTATTATTAAGTATAGAAACAAAAAAGAAAAACAGAACAGGAAATGAAACGCTTTGTGGTCACCGGGTTATAATCGCAGATAAACTTTAAAAGAGAGAGAAAAAAAAAAGGAAACTATTTAATTTGTCTTTATTTCTTTTGCTTCATCGTCGATGTTTTCATCTTCTTCTATAACAGGATCATCTTCATTAAATACATTTATTGTTGGTACAAGATGTGTTATTGTTGTTGATGGAAGAGGTGATATTGATGGTTGAATTTTAGTTGGACGTATAACAATATAATTAAGTAAATCTGATAATGAAAGTACACCAATAACATGTTCATCATTATCAACAACAACTAAACGATGAACTTCAGCTTTAACAATACGTTCCATACATGTTGCTAATGTTTCATTTTTATAACATTTAGCAACTGTTTCAAGACGTTCTTTACGATAAGATAATGCTTCTTTTATTGTCATATTTAAATTTGTATACGTTTTATCAGCAGCTAAACCCTATAAAATTTAATTTAAAACAAGTCAATCATAATTTGTATAAAACAAACAAATTTAATATTTTACTTACAATAACATCAAATTTTGAATAAATGTTTACTAATTTTCGTTGATTATCAACAACAGGTAATGCTGATATACGATATTTGACAAATTGATTAAGTGCTTCAATTACTGTTGTATTTTCATCAATCTATTTAAAATATAAGACATTCATATATCCAAATTAAACAATCTGATTGGGACAATCTTGTCAGATTGTATCTCTTATTTCGTAAGAGACAAACGAATTATTATAATCTTAGAAATCTTATATAAAATCGTATTATAAGATTCTTGTTACTTTAGATAATAAGATTATAGGAAATCTTATGTAATGATAAGACCTTTCAAAAATCTTCTAGTACGATAATGTGTAAGATTAAGATTTCTTTTTTTTTTTGTATGATTTCATTTAATCTTAGTGAACAAAACAAAAAATCTGAAACTTACAATATGCATATCATGATATGTTCCAAGATTAAGTTCTTCCAATGTTTTCGACACATATGCTGGTTGTGGCCAATCATAAATCTATAAAAAAAAAAAAGCGATACGAAATTATTTGATAAGTTTTTAATTTATTATTATGATTTCATAGAAAATCAAAACCTTGAAATTATCTTAAATAAATAGATTTTTGTTTTTTGTCAATACTTACGTATAAATAAAGAAATCGTAATATACGTTTATGTGTTAAAATAAATATAACGTTATGTGATATTGGATCAACAATAGGTAAACGATGTACATGATTTTCTATTAAAGTACGAACTGCTTCATATAAACTAAAAACAAAAAAAGAAATTTTTATATTTTATTCTTTTTCTAATGTTTTGTATAAATTACCTATCAGTAGGTTTAATAGATAATAATGGTTTTTCATATTCACGTAAAACTTCTCTCCATGTTTCAATTCTATGTTCTTCAAGTTCTTCAATTTTAGCATTCGGTTCTTTATAATATTTTTGTAATATAAGAATAAAATCTGTTATTGTTAACATAGCAATAAATCTTTGTCTTTTTGTATCCCATATAGGAGCAGCTCGTACACCATTATGAACAAGTGCATAGAATGCTTTTTTAACAGCTAATTGTGTATCAAATACAACAAGTTTAGAACTTTTTGGCATTATATCATAACATGTATGAGTTCTCATAAATTGTGTATAAATTTCATCATCACTTACTACAAAGAAAAGCAAAATAAGAGTAAAATAATAATTTAATATATATATATATATATCTTACTAAATGTATCATCAGCATCTTGAGTTGGTGAACTTGACTAAAAAAGAAATTAAAATAACAAGATATTTTGTTTTTTTTTTTGTTCAAATTATAATATAAAAATACGAACTGTTGGACGTAAGCAATATATTGATGGTTGATCTGATGAACTATTTTTTCTTATTCCTGTTTGACCAGAAAGTGTTTTGCCAACACGAGCTGAACTATTTACATTAATTGGACTTTGAGCACCTATGTATATATATTTTTTTTTTTTAAATTCTTCTATTAAACATAATTATATTATTATCTTACCACTTCGTTTTGGATCTTGAAAAAGTGACTAAAATTAATACAAGAAATATTAAGCATAGTCGAAGTAGACAAAATGTATATGCATAAGTTATAAGCAAGTAAGCAAGCAAAGCAGCATGAAATTTAAAAAAAATTTTTTTTTCTTTATTCTTCATTTCTGAACATATTTCCTCTTCTCTTTTTGTCTATTCTGTGTCATGTTGGATCTATGCCAACAATAAACGTTTACTGAATCCTACGATACAACAGCAATAGAACAATGAATGAGAGAGACAGGGAGGAAGAGTGTGAAGGAAGAGGAGAAAAGAAAAGAATATTGTGCCAAAAAAAAAAAAATAAAATAAAATAAAATAAACATTAACTTCTTATAACAAGTGACATACCAGTAATTGGCTTGTTCCTCCGCCAGTTGTCGTTCCTTGTTTACTTTGTTGTTGAATTCGAGCTAGTGTTGCTTGTAAACGTAGATCATCATTAGCTTTCGACGGACGTTTATGATATGAAATTGAAAAACCAGTTGGTGCTGATGACATTGATGCATAATATTGTGAATCTGATGATGGTAATGAAAGAGCATTGGGTCCAGCACTAATGTTTCTTCCACTTCCACTACTTGTTCTACTTCCATTTCGATTAGTATTTGAATTTCGATTACCACCTATTCGATCATTTTTATTATTCTGACGATCATTATCTGACAATGAACCAGTAGATACAGTACGTTCATCTAGTTCATCATCGTCATCTTCATAATTATTTGAACGTTGATAATTAGTTGTTAATAAATTATTATTTATATTTTGTCGTTTTTTATTACTATTTATATTTGTCTGATTTTCAATTGATTTTGTTGTTGTTGTTAATAATGTAGATAAAGGTTTTTTAGTTTTTTTCGGAAAAAATTTTGAAAAAAGTGATTTATCAGGTACAGATTGTGGATCAGATTTAGAACGTGAACGAACACGACCAATAAGAAATTGTTTTGCTGTTGATGATGTTAAATTTAAAGTTGTTGATTGTGGTTTTTGTGGTAGTGGTAATAATGCTAATGAAGCAACAGGCATAGCAGCACTTGCATGTTGAGAAAGTGCAGCAACAATATTTGATGGTTCACAAATATCATCTCTACTAATTGTTCCACCACCTGGACCAGATGTATTATTTGTTGGATTTGAAAGTACAACAACTGAATTAGCTGATACTGTACTCGTTTTTTTATCATTTGCATTACTACGTGATAAAAATACGGCTTGTATACGATTTCGTTTTGATGATACCTCTGAATTGGGTTTATTTGGTGAAATAGATTGATCTAAATTTGTTTGATCAGCACCACTGGTAGTATTTGTTTCATTCTAAATAATGTTTGGGTGATGTTTGTTTTTATTATTATTTTAAGTTTTGTTGGTTTCAAAATTTTTCTTCTTTCTTATTTCTATGTCTAATTTGTGTGTTTTTTTTTTAAACTTACCGTTGGTCGAACATAACTATTAAGATCCATGTCATGATGCATATCATGGTCATGTTCGTGATCATGCTCATGCACCGTATCAAGTAAAACTGCTGTTCGTGTCGAATAGTCACTTGTCGCCATGGTTTTTAAGTATAGACAAAGACAGATGAATCTATAATGTCTAGTATGACGAATGTTTCGATAGGAAAACGTATTCCTGCTCTTTTTTTTTTTCTCTTTGAAAGAAAAAAAAAAACTTGTAATTACATATATATCTATGTGGCAACCGTACTTTCAATACTCTCGTCTATGAATGCGACGAGAAAAGAAAAAGAGAAAAAAAAAAAACGAGAGAAATGACTGACTGAATGAATGAATGAATGATGATGAAGTATATGACGCATTCGTGTACATTTCTTTTCTTTTCTTTCTTTCTTCCTTTTTTCTCGGATGAAAGAAAGAAAGAAAAAAAAAATGTACATTCACATTTGCATATATATAAATAAAAGTATACTCGATGGACATGGATGTTTCATCCTGTTGCTGCTTTGAAGCGTAAATACGGAGTAAAAATGGGCGGACGAACAGGAAGAACGAATGAAACCTAAACAAATCATATTTCGTTTTCGTTTTTTGTCACTCAGCCAACTCAAATGTTCAATTGGGAGAGTATATGAGGTCAACATTATCATCTTAAACAAGACAATCATCGTTCGTCTTCTTCTTTTCTCTTGTGCTACCCTTATTATTTGAATAAATCCTAACATGAGAAGAAAAAAACATAGAAAAAATGGGAGAAAAAAAAGAAAGACTGGAGAAATACGTCACCCAGTTTCTGGATAAAAAAAAGGCAAGACAGATTATATGCTGAAATACGAAACCTTCCAGATATATTCCGTTCTTCCTTTCTTTTCGTTTTGCTGTTTCTCACAGAAATAAACATGCCAATCGGCAAGCTTCTACATCTATTAATGGAATGAACAGAACATTTTTTTTTTCTATTTTCATTGCTTTTCTTTTTCTTTCTTTTCTCATTTTTTTTTTTTTTATTCATAAAGCAAGTCACGAGTAGATCCAAGGTTTCTTTTTTCCTCGAACGTCGTCTATCGCACATTCAGACGTTGGATAAAATATGTGTGATGGGAAAAAGAACGGGTGTTTTTCTTTCGCGTTATATATACTGGCACATACATCTATCTATACATTCCGTTTTTTTTCTATATATATATATATACTCGCTGCTTTACTTATTACATTGTCTTGTTCTTCTATCGTCGATGTAATAGATGACAAAGAAAAAAAAGTTCTTTTCGTCTTCACTCGCCAAAATTTCTGGCTATTACTAGTATGTTGAGTAATAAAAATAACGCAGAAGAGAAGAATGAGAGAGAGAAAGAAACATTATTGATGAAGAGAATGATAGAAAGCAATTCGACAAATAAAAAAGATCGATACAAACCACTCGAGTCACACGCATCTTATCTAAGTGGCAAGATGTTACACACGCAATCAACGAATGTCTCAGAATGCAAATAATACCAATCATGATCTATCAATGTCACCTGTTTATATGATAGTGATGAAGTAGATCATAGAAATAAATGCTGTATAGCTAATGTGGTAATAAAAGCCAGTAGGACATTAGGGAAAACAAGAATTGTTAATGAAGGAAATGTGATCAACAATGCATGAGAAAAGGTGTTTGGAAAAATATTATTAAATCGTGATAAACCCATTTATTTACATCATCATCTTTATTCACTGATTTTTGAGTCATATCTATACGTGATGACGTCAAGCCTTCGTTGGAAATTCTAATAGTAACAGCATGCACATACTTCCGCGCATAAAAGAAACATCCGTTTGACGTCTATCGTTTATTTATAATATAAAAGAAACGTTCTTGCAATTTCTCCTTAAATAATATCTATCAAAAACAATATCATTTAATTGATATTATTTTGTATTTTTACATCAATATATAAATCATTTAAAATGACAAATTACCAAGTCATATATTCAGTTATTATTCTGTTTATGATTAAATTTGTTTTTCTTCTCTATTTGTAACGCTTACAACAGAAGAATAAAACGATTTTTTTTTCTCAGAGATAAGAATCGAAACATAACATAAAATCTTATATTATTCTTTTTTAAGTAAATTGCAAAAATAACTTCCTGAATGAATAAATATGTTTAATTTTCCATATACTTGACATTGAAAAAAAACGTCTAAACATAGTGAATTTTTCAAATGAAACAAAAAAGAAAAGAAAATTTTTCTTCATTCTTGTGTTATTTATCTGTTTATAAAATTTATTTAGTTGCTCCATATATTCAATTATTGTCGTTATTGAACTTGATTGAATATTATATTATAGAGAAATATAAGCTAAATATAGTCTTAATACCTAAAAATGGTTGGAAATTATTTTTTTTTTTTTTTTTGTGTCAAACAGTTAGAGAGTATTTGACCTATTTTTATTTAATCCTGTTTCTAAGAAGTGGAGTGTTTTTTTTTTGATCTTAATCGAAAGAAAAACAGTGTAAGATTTACAGAAGCTATTATGTTGCCGCGAGCTTAAAAAAACAAAAACAATTGCGTTAAAATGATGAAATCGACATAAAAATGCATATATTTTTAATTTGTTAATTCAAACGAATGTTTTTTTCGATGCATGATTTTTTTTATTTTTCAAGGCCAAGGGTGCTGTTTCATAATGTGTGTAACATTTTTATTTTGCATGTATCGTAGCTTCAATAAATGATTAAGTTTTTCATGAAAAATGCTATGAAATTTGTATAAATAAATTCTTATTGCAATGTTTCGATAATTTTCTAGTAAAGGCAATGAATGACCTACATGATAGAGCTACTTCTCATCCTATCAAACATAATAAATAAAAAAAATATTTATAAGACTTATTTGTTTTTCAATTGAGTTTGTGTTTACAGCTTACGAAGAGCTTTTCGAGAGTGCATGTGTTTTTTTTAAATCATAATTTCGTCCTTCCTCTCGAGTAAAGGTATATTCAAAATAAAGAATGTTGCAAATATTACGGAACACCCACTATTCCTTATAAATACTTCTAGATATTGTATGTCAATTATAACCAGTATGAGATTGCTTTGTACATTAACTAATCATTTACTTTCTACAGTATATGGTATGATGGTGAGCTCGATTTGATTTTTTTCAAAAATTGAAACTAAACCAAATAGAAAACTTTTAAGATTCTATTAAAGACAACAAAAATAATGTAATTTTTATATTAACTTGTTTATCGATATATCTTTTATCATAGAATATCTTCTATATTAGGAGATTTTTCCATGATAGGAACCACTCCTGAAAGAATAATGTTTCAAACATAATAGAAGATCTTTACTTTCTTTATCTAAATAATTAAGAAATTGTAACTTGATGCAATATGTTTACTTTGAAGTATATCTAGTTTTCTGGATCTTGAGTTGAAAATTAATAACTATTCAAACAAAAATAATTTCAGCTTATTTTTAGAATTGAAAAATCTTTGACATCCTTCAAACTGCCCTAATTATCTAGAAAGCATCTCTAATTACTAATAATTAAAAAAAATCGGAACCTATTAGAAGACCGTGTGAAACATTTATCCACTTTGACATGAAAGAATATGTTGAGTGGTCAATTACAGAAAGAGAATTTAATTTATATATATGTATGCATAGAAGCTACTAGTATTATTCAATTAGTCAGCAGAATGTGTTTGTTTTGTTTATATCGTAAAAATTACATGAAGTAGAACAGTTGAGTTATCAACATAACACAGACGTTAATCTCTAGTATACATATGAAAATTTTTAGGTCAATCTATACACTTGCTCATTTTTTTATTGGCAAAAATATTATAAGATACCTTTCTTCATCTTTCCAAGAATATTCAATTACTTTTTTTTTGCGATTTCTATTAGCATATTCTAATCTAATACAATTTTGTGCAAGACACTTCATTCGAAAGAATAAATTGCTCTCGTCATAAGAACTATTTATATTACACAACTGTAGGAAAAAAGCTGTAGATAAACAGCTTTTAGCTAACAATACTCAAACTATTTCAGCAAGTAGTTTACCATTAGATAGAACATCAAAAACTGCATCATCAATGTTATTCAAATGATTAGAATGTAGTACAATATTGGTTTAGCTAGTCATAATGGAAAAGTAGTCAAATTTTGAAACGCAAAATATCAAACAGTCTTAATATTTGGTTAAAAAAAACAATTTTTATAGAGTTGGATCAATAACATGTAATATGGCGCACATACATACAGTACAACAGTGAGGGTGAAGATGAAATCTGTGACATAAAAAGGATTTGGATTTTGACATTTTGCTTTTCGATATTTTCGTTTTCGACATATAGGTAATCAACTGTACTGATCCATATACCAAACAAGTTTAGTTCTCTATGCTCTGTTTCTATTAGTAGAACAAGAGTCTTTTACAGATTTTGAAAAATGTGCAAATGTATAGAATTCCTATATGTCTAAACACTTTTCAAAATTTTTACACGACTCTTGATTTGCAAATAGAAGCAATATACAGGGTCTAGAGTAGCTGCTCATTTGGATACTAACTCGTTGTACAGACTTATAACACTTTTGAAGAAAATAACGAATTAGAATGGTACAATCAATTAATTTCGTGTACGAGAATGATCATCGTCATAAACCAATTCATATAAATGTTGCAATACTGATCAAAATGGCGATTATAATATAATGACAAGATGTATTCATGAAAATATACATGTATATATCTAAGCCACACAGACTAATAGAATGATCGCAGAAAAAATAATAATGTCAGTTACTGTATCAATAGTAGAGACCTACGGAGTACTGCAAAGCCAGATTCCAACTCCGATTCCGTCGGAGTCAGCAAAACGAAATTTTTCAGAATCAAAATCATGATCACCTTTGGTGAACTTTTGCTATTTCAAATAAGAGCAACTTTACTATTCAGCTTAACAAACAAAAAATAGAAAGATAACAGTTGCTACATATATTAACCCATTCACCACGATGGGACCCACCGGTGGGTCCCACTTTGCATTTCATATTCTAATCTCGAAATACGCTTTATTAAGAAAACGGCATAA